AGCCTGACTTTGGAAAAAGTCACCAAGTTGGAGGCCGGAGTCAGATTACTGCAGGGGAGCAGGTCGATGTCCATAAGACAGGCCATGTCGGTACTTGGATTGCTGACAGCGTCCATTCCGGCAGTTCAGTGGGCAGGTCTGCATATGCGTCCCCTCCAGTTGTGGATCCTGAGGGTTTGGGACAGGAAGTGTCACTCCCTAGAACGCAGGGTCTTGGTGCCCCCCAGTGTGAAAAGGTCTCTATGGTGGTGGAGGAGATCGTCCAGCATAACTCAGGGGCTGTTGTGGTGCTTTCCGATTTCCGCGGAGCACACTACGGATGCCAGCGCCAGGGGCTGGGGAGCCCACCTGGGAAATTTGGTGACTCAGGGGGAATGGTCCTTAGGGCAGAAGGACAAATCCTCGAATTGGAAGGAATTGAGGGCAGTGTGGGAGGCTCTGCACTCCTTCCAGGCGGAGGTCACGGGCCAGCACGTGCGTGTCCTGACGGACAATGCCACGGCAGTGGCTTATATAAACAGGCAGGGAGGGACGCGGAGCAAGGCCCTCGGGGCCTTAGCGGCGACACTGTTGTCCTGGGCAGAGCTGAATTTGGCATCCCTGTCTGCGATACACTTAAAGGGGGAGCTGAACCAGAAGGCAGACTTCCTGAGCAGGACTCGGCTCAGGGAGTCGGAATGGGCCTTGAACCCCGATGTCTTTCAGGAGATTGTGCGAAGGTGGGGATCCCCGGATGTGGACCTTTTTGCCTCCGGAAGGAACAACAAGGTCCCAAATTTCTTCTCTCTATCCCGCTGGGACGGGTCCAGAGCGGTGGACGCATTAGGTCAGAGGTGGGACTACCGGCTTTGTTACGCCTTTCCCCCGGTTCCTTTGCTCCCCCTGGTCCTGAGGAAATTCAGGACAGAGGGGACCTCGTTAATCCTGATAGCTCCCTTCTGGCCGCGGCGGGCGTGGTTTGCGACCCTGAAGAGTTTGGCCTCTCGTCCACCCTGGGAGCTGCCTCCAAGAGTGGATTTGTTAACACAGGGGCCGGTTCTTTGCCCCAGCATAGGAAGATTGCGGTTAACGGCCTGGTTTCTGAGCAGCAGCTCCTCTTAGAAAAGGGGTTCTCGCCTAGGGTGGTGGCGACATTACTGGCCAGTAGGAAGGAGGAGACCCAGGCCATTTATGGTAGGGTCTGGGGTTGCTTTACAGCCTGGTGTGACCGGACAGCTGTGGCAACCCATAGTTTGGTTTCTGTGTTGGAATTCCTGCAGGCGGGAGCGGACAAGGGATTGTCTGTCAGCACGCTCAAGGGCCAGGTCTCGGCCCCTCAGTGTGTTCTTGGAGACGCCCCTGGCCAGGGAGGCGTTGGTGAGTAGGTTTTTCAAAGCTCTGGTGAGGCAGAGGCCTCCGAGGTCCAGACCATTTCCAGTGTGGGATTTGGCCAAGGTGCTCGGGGGGATGACTAGGGCTCCGTTCGAGCCCTTGGAGTCCTGTCCAATAGGTGAGCTCACCATTAAGACTGCTTTTCTGGTGGCGATTACCACGGCGAGGAGGGTGTGTGAGATGGAGGCCCTCTCGATCAGAACACCCTATCTCCGTATTTTTTCAGACAGGATCGTTTTCAGACCAGACCCGTCCTTCATTCCGAAGGTAGCTCGGAGTTTCCAGAGGGAACAGGACATTGTCCTTCCCTCATTTTTTCCTAACCCGGTGGGGGTAGATCAGGAGAGGTATCATTGTTTAGATGTCAGAAGGTGCGTTCTCCAGTATCTAGAGAAATCTAGGGAGTTCAGAAGCACCGAATCCCTTTTTGTTTTTTTTAAGGGGGCTAGAAGAGGCAAGAAGGCGTCTAGAAGGACGCTGGCCAGCTGGCTGCGGCTGGCGATTACAGGAGCATATCAGGCAGAAGGCCTGGAGGTCCCGGAGGGTATCAAGGCACATTCCACCCGAGCTGTGGCGGCTACCCAGGCAGAGTTAGCAGGGGTTTCCCCAGGGCAGATTTGCAGAGCGGCAACATGGTCCAGCTATGACACATTTGCCAAGCATTACAGACTGGACCTGGTCTCGGTGCAGGAGCAGGACTTTGGTCGTAAGGTCTTACAAGCAGTTAGCCCGCCCGAAGGGTGAGTACTCGCTTATCCTCTCAGAGTGCTGGCCTGAAAGACGGTAGGGGAAAAACCAAGTTACACTTACGGTAACGTCTTTTCCAGGAGTCTTTCAGGCCAGCACCGGTTTCCCACCCACTGTTGATATTGGTTATGTGAAGATGGCTTATTGTGATTATGTTGTCTCGCATTGTGTCTCCCCAGATGACCGGAGGATGCTTGGAGAACTGAGGTCAGAGGGGAGTGGAGCTTTTTTTATTGTAGGTGGAGGTGTTTCCTCAGATGGGGAGGAGCCGAGGTCTCTCAGAGTGCTGGCCTGAAAGACTCCTGGAAAAGACGTTACCGTAAGTGTAACTTGGTTTTTTTTGTTTCATTGGTTGTAAAGGAGAGGGCCAGGAAGCCAGCCACCTCATCCTTAACAACAGATGAATCATCCCCACTGACAGCTGAATGTAAAATTTGAAACATTGCCAGCAACTGACAGCTAAATTTACAAAACAAAACATTGCTGTCAAAAAAATGCGTAAAAAGTGGCGTGGGGGCAGGTATGGGTTTTAAGGGAAAAAATGGAGGGGTGTCCCCCCCCCCCCCCAAAATCCATACCAAACCTTTAACAGAGCATGCAGCCCGGCAGGTCAGAAAAGGGGGGGGGGGGGGGAACGAGCGAGTGCCGCTCCCCTCCCCTCCTAAACCATACCAGGCCACATGCTCTCAATATGGGGGGGGTGTTAATAAGGAGGCCCAGATCCTGGCCCCCCACCCCATGTGAATGAGTATGGGTTACATAAAAAAAAAGAGACGTCATGGGGATGGCCTCGACCCTTGGTTATTTAAAAGCTGTCAAACAGCGGAGGCAGGAGCGGTGGCACAGGCGTTGATTGACGATGGATCTACACCTGGGGACACTTATTTTTTTTTTATTAAAGGGCTTGTCAAATACCTGTGTTGCGTTTTTATTAACTTTTTTGGGGGCACCCTTATTAAAGGGGGCGTCCAGATTCTGATAAGCCCCCAGACCCCCACAACCACCATACAGAGTTGTGGGAAGGAGGCCCTTGCCCTCATCAACACAGGAAGAAGGTGTTTTGGGGTGGTGGTGCTTTGGGGGGACCTGCTCCAAAGCACCCCCCCACTTGTCACGTGCCCCCACCCTTTTCCTGGCCTGCCAGGCTGCTTGGGTATGGGTCTGGTATGGATTTTGGGTGGGACCCCATGCTATTTTTTTTTTATTTTGGTGTGGAGTTCCCCTTAAAATCCATACCAGACCCGTAGGGCATTGATGGCAATGGTTTGGGGTTTTTTTTACATTCAGCTATCAGCGGAAAATCCTGTTGCCAGCTGATGACTCATCCATTGCTAAGGATGGGGGGGGGCTGGCTTCCTGGCCCCCCTCCTTAACAATGGCCCTGCTTCTTAACACTCAAGCTACTAAATGTAGCTTACACACTAGGCTAAACACTGCTATATGCCGCCAAAAAAAATTAAAAAACATTAGTGGTTTTTGTCCAGCATTTTTACAGCAGTTTTTAGCTTCACTAGTGAGACCTAAGTATTCTGAATTGAGAGAAAACATGAAGCCAGCATTATCCATGGAGAAATCTGATCAGACTAGTAACCCCCACAGGAATTAGCAGGGGATGTCTACTGCAGAATCCAATATGTACAGGGTTAATAACCTTCCTGATTTTGTTTTACTGACAAAATATGGAAAATGTACTGCCAAGGCATACTTTTACTGACAATCTGAAATATGACAAAAACTCCTATTAAAAATGAAGACAATTCATATTTAAACCTTATGTAAAAATTAACAATACCTAAAACAAGTGACCTGCTAGCTTTACAATTCAAAATTCAAAACAGAGTGACAAAATGTAAGCATGACTAGGATTATGAAAGATGGAGCAGGAAAACAAGTTCTGTGACATTTTGAGAGCATCATGGCTAAGGATAGTCATGGTCAGGTTGAGTGTTACAGTGGGAGTGATTTAAAGATGGATGATGGAAGAGAACCTTAGTTTAGTCACTTTATATTGCACAGCTATGTCTCTGTCTTTACATCACAAAATACTTCTCATTACTGTCCCACAAGGGACAATCTCACTTAAGTGACACATAAATCTCAGGACCATTTTTTCTAAAGTTACATTTTCAGTTACATATGTTGGGACATTTAACACTTCTCAGGACTCATACAACCCGTATAGAATCCAAGGATCAGGAGCAAAGCTGACTATAAACAGGTAGTTAAAAAAGTGAACAGATTCCTCTATTCACACAAGCAAGGTAGATGGAGGAATCGCTTGGCTGGGACATCATATTCTGACAGCAGGACCCACTGCTACCAGAGTACACCTGATCGGCAGCTGCTGAGAAATGTTTTCCAATGTATCCCTTCAACAACAGTCCATCAAGCAATCCACTTCCTTTGAGCAGGAATGCCCACACACTGATTGAAATTTGGTCAGTCCCTGCTGAACCAGCTGAATGTCTATTAGTCTACGGTCACCTTAACCAGCTGCCGACCGCAGATAGCCGAATGACGGCTTCACTGCGGCCGGCCAGTTCTGGGTGGACGTCATATGACGTCCTCCCAGAACGCGCTCTCCTGCGCGCCCCAGGGGGCGCGCACCCGGCGATCTCCGTGATCGCCGTGTCCTACGGACACAGCTGATCACGTGATGTGGTAAAAGGCCAATCACAGCGGCCTTTTACCACGTGATCAGCGGTGTCCAATGACACGCTGATCACAGGGAAATGCAAGTGCCGGTTCTCGGCTGCACTTTCCTCACGCTGTCAGATCGTGAGGAAAGTACTGCCGAGAACCGGCAGTTGTCAGAGCGAGGATCGGCACTGATGATCAGTGCCCTGATGATCGGTGCCCAGCAGTGCGCCCACTAGCTCCGCCCACCCGTGCCCATCAGTGCACCCACCTGTGCCACTCTGCAGTGCCACCTACATGTGCCCAGCAGTGCCACCCACCTGTGCCCACCCACCAGTGCAGCCCAGCAGTGCTGCCAGTCAGTGCCACCAGTCAGTGCCCAGGGGTTGTGCCAGTCAGTGCCGCCAGTCAGTGCCCAGCAGTGATGCCAGTCAGTGCTGTCTATCAGTACCCATCATCAGTGTCACCTATCAGTGCCGCCTATCCGTGACCCCTAATTAGTGCTGTCTATCAGTGCCGCCTATCCGTGCCACCTCATTAGTACTGCCTATCAGTGCCCTTTAGTGCTGCCTATCAGTGCCGCCTATCAGTGCCCATCAGTGCTGCCTCATCAACGCACATCAGTGAAGGAGAAAAAATACCTGTTTGAAAAATTTTATAAAAGAAACAAATAAACTTTTTTTTTTTTTTTTTCAAATTTTTTGCACTTTTTTTATTTATAGCGCAAAACGTAAAGCGCCCAGTGGCGATTAAATACCACCAAAAGAAAGCTCTATTTGTGAGAAATGATCAAAATTTCATATGGGTACAATGTTGCATGACCGCGCAATTGTCAATCAAAGTGCGGCAGCACTGAAAGCTGAAAATTGGCCTGGTAAAGAAGGGGGTATAAGTGCCTGGTAGGCAAGTGGTTAAAGATGTTATAAAGCTTAAACATTTTTTACCCTATTGTATTCCTTGCATTAAAGTAAAATAATGTGTAGGTATCAGCATCCCCCCCTCACCCCCATTTTACCTACCATTCGATCCAGTGCTGTGCCTGTCTACAGCAGTCGCACTTCCTGTTCTCACTGGCTGCCGCTGCTCTCTCTCTGTCTCTTCACTGGCTCAGACACAGTGGCAGGAGCCATTGGCTCTTTCTGCTGTCCATCAAAGCCAATGGCAAGGGAGCAGGAGGCGGGCTGAGTCACAATTGTCTGTGTCTATAGACGCAGACAACAAGGCTCGGGAGCGAGCCCACACAAGTGCCCCCCTTAAAAGCAGCTTTCTATAGGAGCCAGGAGCGCCATCAACGGACCCAAGAATAGGAGGTTTGAGGCCACTCTGTGCAATGGAATTATAAACCTGATTGTTATTTTATGTATATATTTATATTAATTGCATTTACAACCACTTTAGGTAACACAAAACACTGAATACAGAGTACTGTAGTCAGGATAAGAGGGGGGAGGGAGAGATAGAAGGCAAAAGTAAGAGGTAAGAGAAAAGGAGGGGGAGAAAAGAGGGAGAGAGTAAGGCTCCATGCACACTAGTGTTTTTTTTTTTTAAACTCAAACGCTATCATAGCATTTTTTAGTAGTGTTCAGAAGCGTTTAGGAGTGTTAGTGTTTTATTAGCATTTTTCCAGTACGTGTAGAGGAAAAAAAAAGCTAGAAAAAAGCTTTTAGGAGCATTTTAGAAGCGTTTAGCTTTCTTTCTGCTGGAAAAAACACTCCAAAAAAACTACAATTTTTTTTCTGCTCCATGATACTGAAGCTCAAAAAAGGCTAATAGCCTAAAGTAGCATGCATGAACATATAGGATAACACGATTTAGCTTCTAAGAGCAGAAAAAATGCTAATAGCGTCTAGGAGCTTAAAAAAGCCAGTGTGCATGGAGCCTGAGAGAGGGGAATGTTTAGTGAACATAATAGAATTATGACCCCTCCTGAGGTTGGTCTTCCTGAGGCTCAGGCAGTGGAAGTGGAACAGATAGATAGCTGAGTGCTTTAAACCACCACCCAATGATCACAGAATCTCTTTATTTGGGCACAGTGTATGCATTAGACTATTCTATTGAATGCCATGTGGTTGGAGAGCCAGCTGGCGTAGGGGGGTAGAATGGGAGACACAGAAGATGCAGCCACTTTATGGGGGGGTGTTAATGGTGCCTGAAAACATCAATAGCCAGTCATTGTATTTTTTAGCTTTCTCTTGTCCACTGACTTTTGCAGGAAAGAGCAATTAGAGTGTTTTTTTACAAACCTGCATTATTTGATTAATCCCCATATTTCTTCTTTCATTATACTACTGTGATAAAACCCAAACATATATTGATGACTGGTGACAGCTACCAGCTCCAGATATAATAACTCAGCAGTACAAATCTCAAAGTATTCTAAACTTCTTAAGTAGATAAATATGATGACAGATTGTTGAAATGCCAACAAGATCATTCATTCAAGCTACATAAACAGTGAGTAATGGCTAATGAAAATCCCCGACGTAATCCCAGGGACTTTGTACTTAAACACTTTATGAATGGAACATGCCAGAAATTTTGATCGACTGTTACACATTGTTTATACTCCATGACTATTAAGTAAGTGATCTAATCTGATGAGTCTACCTGAATACAATATAAATTTTCTTTAGCTGCATCAGGTACTGGTCACATTTCATGGTTCTTCACCACCTCTATGACTTTCCTGGAAGTAAAGCTCACTATACACATTATTATCTGATTGTACAATTCTCGCACAACCTCCTTTAGATATATCCAAACAATGTAATAAAAGCACCTATTAACTATCCAATCAATCCGTCACCAATTACGCAGGCTCTTGCACTACATACAGTAGTTGTTCCCAGTCTAAAGGAAATTGTACAGTTAGGTTGTAAAGCGTGATGAGCTTTAGATACACGTCATTATGGAACTGAACCCAGTTTGTGTTTACCACTCAAACACCAACACGTCTTGTCTAGTCAGAATTAGACTTCATCAGGCTACAGCTGTGAAAGAAGTGGACCTATTTATTGAGCTCTCCATCAAACAACATATTTTTTAATGCCAGCACAAAACCAACAGAAGAAACTCCTTGTTCAAAAAAACAGCGGACTTTACCGGCTCAACATGAGAGCATATATACACCATAAAATTCATAAACTTTATTACAAGCATTAAAATGACATGCAGAAAATAAAAGAAGAAGACTGGACCCCCAATAAGGGGGCCTATATACAAAATACCCCATATAGCAGGGGTAGGCAACCTTAAAGGGGTAGATATCTACCTAAACAACATAGGAGGAGCCAAAGATCATGGGTGCAGTGTCGCCTCCTCACGCCGGATTTAAAACGCTAATTGTTGTACTACTGTGTCGCAATTGCGTGCATTGCATGGGTTTAATCAGGTGGTGAGGAGGCAATATATCGTCACCTTATCACCTGTCAAACACACTCTGATCACTTTTCAGAGAAGCAGCAGTGCCTGCTGCACTTGTGAATGAGCCCTTAGGTTCATTTGGCAGTGGCTCCCTTAGGGCTTGTTCACACCCGGCGCAGCAATAAATAAACTCCCTATTGGTGAGTGCTAACACCTACCAATCATGACCAATTCAAGTAAATGGGCCACTCTACAAGCGCCCCGCAACTGCATGCTTCTGTGGGATTCAAGGGCGTAAAGCAGGTGGTGAGAAAGCAACACACCACTGCCTGCTTTAACCCCTTGTTTGCTGTACTGCACAAGATTGCAGGGCACTTGCAGAGCAGACTCATTCACTTGAATGGGTCTTGCTTGGCAAGTGCTACAACCACCAACCATGACAGGGCATATAGGTCCTGCTGCGACATGTGTACAGCGCTGGCCACTGCAGCTAAAGGGGGTGCGGTTGGGTCAGTGGTGGTAAAAACATGTCTTAACTATGGGGTTTTACCACCCCCCACAAACTGAAAATGTAAATGAACCCGTACTGTTCTGAGCCACCTGTAAGGCTACTTTCATAATGATGTGCTGCAGTTTACCTGCACCACAGGTGCAGCCCAGTGCATCTTCAAATTTCCTGGGTTTGCTGCGCTTTGCCATAGACTTCTATTACATTCTGCAGGTGTGTCACAATTGCGCCAAACCTGTAGGATATAATAGAAGTCTATGGCTAAAGCATAGCAATCCTGCAAGAAAGCTTCAGGTACATTGCACTGCACCTGCTGTGTAGCTAAACCACAGTACATCAATGTGAAAGTAGCCCTGTACTATTCTGTCCAGTGTATTGCTTCACAACTGACCTGAAGATCTCTTTTTTACTGCTGCTGGAGACTGCTAGCCAGGATAAGAGGTGGAGTGCAGTTGGTATCACACGACATGGGACAGGAGCCGGCACTACAGTGGAGGCATCGGCTTCATGCTCCCTACTACAGATCCAACATTACAAGTAGTCCCTCTGCATTGCACTGTTTAGTGCCCTGGGATGGTGGGTCAGCAAGCCCAGATCATGATCTAACAGTCACCTGACCACAGTCTATTGGTAGCTGACCCGCCATATAGGATTGGAACTATAAACCTTATGAATGTACCAATATAACCAAATATGCTCCAGAATGATATAGTATAGGTGTGTTTGTCCAAATCCAAAGGTCAACACAGATCACACTGGACTTAGCTTCCTCGGGACCGCGAGGAATGTCGGTGTCAATCAGTATGGCTGTGCAGCAGTTACTGTGTAAAAATAATTCTTGTGGGCAGACATAGAGGTCTCAGGAAAACATAATCCCTTGAAAGGCCACATACATATACAGGGGTACAGATGGCTACAAGCTGGAAGTGTATAGTATAAATATTCTCAAGATGTGTTGCATCTTTAATACTGGAACACCATGCTGGTAAATAACAGAATAGAATGTATCTCCACTATAGGGGGGCATACGTTAAACAATTTTCTTGTACCATTTTTCTTTAGATTTACCAAAACCATATAATATGAGGTCAAACCTAAACACTTTAATTTTGTATGCAAACAGGTAGGCCCTTGCACTATATGGTTGAAGGTAAATCTAAAGGAAATCGAATAAGAAAATTGTATATAGTATGGCCAGCGTTAATGGGGATATATTCTATTCCATGGAAGGGCATTTTCTCTTTGCTAATTTTACCATGATGTTGATATCTCTTGTACTATAAGGCTAAGAATTTTTTTTTATTTGCGGGGGGGGCTCCCTTGAGACATGCAAGTAACCAAATGATGTGAAAAAGTTTTGTGAAGGGTACTTGCAGACTTATTTTTTATTTTGGAATGCATAGGTGGAGGTGCATAGTTTAACAGGGCAGGAAGCATTTTGGCAGCCTTATGGTATCCTCCTGGCTTCTTTTGGGATTGTATGTACCTAGGTGAAATGAATGAAACAAAAATATAAAAAATGTTTGCACATGAAAAGCAAAAAAAAAAATGTAAAAGGGAGGAAGGACAAGAAGGACTTATATGGGACTTATTATGATTACTAAAAGGCAGTCAGAGAATAAATAGTAATAATTTTAATTAAAAAATAAAACAGTTTATGTTACTTACCTGATTTGTATAGCAAAGTAGAATTTAAAGTGCATCTACAGACAAAATGTAAAAAAAAAA